TCTCGCCTCGGTCAATCAAGCTGGATGTGGAGGAGCCATTAGGACATGCCCGCTCGGCCTCCCCGTGGTGCGGAGGTCCCCGGGCCGCACTGGCTCCCCGTGGCGCGGAGGTCCCCGGGGCCGCACTGGCTCCTTTTCTAAGTTAATTACGACAGAGGACAGGCGCTGCTGCTGCTGCTGCTGGCCAGTAGTAACGCGCAGATCTGAGCACGATCGAGGGCCCCTCCAACTCTCCCACACTGAGCGCTCCATCCAGCTCGTCAGGGCCGACTCCTACCTACCCTCCAGCCATCCGGTGGCTGCGAAGCCTCTACCCCAAGGCAGAGCTGCATGTGCACCAAGCAGGAAAAGGGTCCCCCCGACAGCGGCCTCACCAGCTCCCCCTTTCATTCTCACCTCCCCTGGCTGGCAGGCAGGGTGGGGCATCCTGACTGCGAGCAGCACGCCCGCTCCTCCCAGGAGGAAAAGATGAACCAAGCGATGGTTTTCCCTCCTGCGTCTCATTTACACATTTAGAGAAAAGAAAATCTTTCTGAGACAGCATCACAACGGAGAGCCTTGTTGCTCGCAGAGCTTTCCTGCCTGCCTCCGGCATGTTCTAGAAAGCCTGCCGAGGGACTGTGGGGGCCCTGGGGAGCATCCTGAGTTCCAAGGCCTCCGTAGGGAGGAGAATGGCGCCCTCTGGTGCTGGCTTTTGTCAAGACACCGTTCGCCCCCGTCCTTTCCTGGTAAATGGAAAGACAGTTTGTTCTGACTTGGCTGCAGACAGGAGCAACTTGACCCGAGTTTGAGGATGACTTCAACACTCTTGCTTCTGGAGAGCCTCTTCTTCCCCATTACCTGCTTGCGGGAGCAAACTGCCCGCCTTGGCCCTGCGAGAGACGGCGCTTCAATTCTGGCGTGGCACAAAAACAATGGCTGGCGTCTTTGTGACAAGCTCCACGCCTCAGCCTGAAGCCCGAGCCCAGCGAATGTGTGAAGAAGCCACGTGGCGCGGGGCACGTTCAACAAGCGCTCTGCGCGCGCACTGCCCCTGCTTTGTCTTATTCTAGGTATCAGAAAGCGCTGACACGGCAGGAGGGTCAGGAGGAAAGGACAGAAAATAATGAGAACATGTGGTTTCCCTTCCCACACCATTTTTCCTCTCTCCTCTCCCTCCTCCTCTCCTTTCTCTTTTCACCCTCCCTCTTCCTCCCCTCCCCTCTCCTCCCTCCCTCTTCTTCCTGAAACAGTCTTGCTCTGTACCCGGTTGGCCAGGACCCCCACGCCTCACGCTTGGGGTGCAGGCATGGCTCATTATGTGCCGTCGCCGCGAGTCTTGGATGTTTTGTCCTCCCTGAGACACATGGAGCTAAATGATTCCCAGAATCACACTTTGGGGGGGGCGCTCGTCGGAACCTCTGTGCCATCTGTGGTCGTCAGTGGGGTTCGTTTTTCCAGATCTTGCTAAAAAGGTGGTGCTTTGTTCCCTCTTGGTGATGGGGACAAGGGATGTGAACTAGACCCGCAGCAGAGCCAAGCAGCCAGCCCCGCGCCTCCGTCCCTGGCCTCGTGTTTGCCTGCCTCGCCTCATTCGGGGCCTGGCCGTGCAGGGTGGGCTCCCCTGAGCTCAGCGGCCTGCGCCGCTCCTCCGAGCGCCCTCCCTTCTCCGTGGGCTGTGATGGGGGGTGGTCTGCTCTTCTGGGGGGAGGGGCCCGCACGTCCTGTGAGGGGTGTGAGGCTCGGCCCCACTGGGCGTCTAGAAGCCATTCTCCAGCAACCATCTCCAGTGCCTGCTGTCCCTGCACGGGACTGACTCCCGGCGGCTGCGTCAGGTCCGATGCCACCGCGTCATCTCTGCGCGTGGCCGTGTTATGTGGATCTCCCAAGGCTGAATGTCACCACTTCCAAAAGAAAAGCCCACAGGTCTGACAGGACACAGAGCCTGGCGTTTATGTGTGCTTGGTGGCTGATGTCTGTTGCTGGTGTGCATCACGCTTCTACAGTGAATACAGACTTTTTTTTCATTTTAAAATCACTCATTTTAAAAACTCATGCAACAAATCCTTGAAAAACCTCCATCAACCTGAGAGCTGCCTGCGACATCTGAGCACACACACGGCTTGCAGAGCCCACAGTCCAGACGTCCCCGCGTGGCGGCTGGGGACACACAGATTTGGACAAGTCAAGCCGCCACTGCGTTCCGTCTGTTCCCAGTCTTCCGGGCCTCGTGTCCAATGCCGTGGTTATGTCAGGGAGAGCCTGCCAGTGACCCACGCAGCCCCGGCCGCAGCCAGCCTGTGTCACGGTGTTCCTGGAGGCTGGCCGCCTCCTCCCGCCCCGCGGCAGCTGCAGCTGTACCCCGCGCCCCAGCTCTCCACCACGGGGTGGCACCCGGGAGCGGCTGCGGCTGCCACACGCGCGCGCACGCACACACACACACACACACAGAGCAAACTGCATGTTCTCGTCTTGAATCTGTGGCCCGCGCCCATGTCCACAACTGGAGAGGAGAGAGTTTTAGCTTTGCTCTTCCAGTCGGCTTTCTCCTGGTTTGCACCCCTGCTGGGGCGAGCGTGTGCTCCTGTTATTAGCCTTCTCTGCCTGGCAGGGGGCGCTGGCGGCACCGGCTTCACTAGCTTTTCCTGCTCCAGTGCGGCTGCCCCGGGGAAGGGAGGGGAGGGGGACCAGAGGAGGAGAGTGGAGGGGACTCGACAGGGGAGACCAGGCGGAGCTGGCAGGACCCGGGTGGGGTGGGGTGAGGGGGCAGCAGGGCTGCCTCCCTGCAGAGGTGAAGGCACCGGTGCGGGGCGCCCCCCGCCGAGCAGGGTCCCGCTCCCCACGAGAGCCTGGCACCCAACCACCCTGCTCTAACCACAGGCACGCACACCGCAGCATGGCCTGGGGTGTTCAGCTCGGGATGGAGCCGGGCATTGGGCAGATGGGGCGGAAGATGGACGCCTGCATCCGCGTCAGCCCTGGGGCCCCGGCCGCACATCCCAGGAGATGTGAAGTACTCTGAACAACCAGGCAGGAAAAGAAGAGGTAGCTGACTTCAGAGTCAGGAAAAGGGGTGACGTCATTGAAGAGAAGGACAAGGGAGAGCAGAGGCAAGGGCCCAAGTCCTGGTGTCACAGGTACTGATGGATGGCGGGGAAGTGTCTTGGATCATGTGTGCGGATGCACATGCATCATGGTAGACAGGATGTTTATGTGCACGCATATAGATATGCAGTCTGTGGGCTGACAAATGATAGCCACAAGGTGATTGCAGGGGAACTTTTTCAGTGCAAGGAAATGCTGCCATCTGCCCTTTCCCAACTCGGCTAATGAAAGCCCATCATGAGCAGAAGAGTGAAGGGTAAATGTCAGACAGTGAGTCACAGAGCTCCTGAAAAGGTTAAGGTGAAAGCAGAGCCGAGCCTGAGCAATGATAATAGGTAAACTTAATTTCTTCCGAACAAAAAAATGCTCTTTTGTTGATAGGAAAGTCTATTTTCCCGGATAATAATTACTAGAACCCAAATGGGGGACGAGGAAGTTCAAGATTCTCTTCCCAAATGTCAGCATCCAGCTTCCGCGCGGGATGGAGGGGAAATAAAATGAGGGTGTCCTGCGCACTCCTGGAGGCCAGGTCTGTCCCCCCTTCAGCTGATGTGCTGTAGGTATCAGGGGGTGATGCTAGAAGCCTGGGGGCATTGGAAATAGGAAGCTGGCTCTTCGCTCAGTTTAAGCAGTGGAGCTAAGTGTGAGAGGAGTAAGAGATAAAAGCCAGACTCCATCCCGATGACAAGCACTGGCCAGCAGGTGCCTTCCATGATGCTGTTGCCTTGCTCATTGCTGTGGCGAATTCCAGAGGTGCCACGCTTCGAGTCCAGCCGGTCCGTCTGGAAAACCAGGGCGTGTTTCCTGGGGTTGTCGTGGGCAACGTGTGCATGCCCACATCGTCTTGGCAGGCAGCAGCCTGGCTGGGCATTGCATTTGGTATGCGGCTGGGTTTTCCCAACAGTGGGTGCCAAGACTGTCACGGGACACATGGCAATGGACTTTCTTGCCTGGCTAACTTCTCAATGAGCCACAGCCACACATGCAAAGTGACAACATAGATTTTATCAGGGGCTAAAAAGGTTTTCAGTTCCTGTTTCATCTTTAACACAAAATAAGAGACTTGCCCTGAACCCTCCTTCACGGAGTCTAAAGCCCCATCTCTCGAATGCCCAGCGTCCTCTGGTGAGAGGTTGAGCCTTCTCAGTTAGGCTGCTGCAACAATCCCTTGGAGAACGCCCACAAAAGCCAACTCTTCTCCTACACATTGGGGAGCGGAGTAAACCAACCCAAAGGAGCCCGGGCGCGTGTGCAAATTCTCACCCCTCAACAGCCAGGTATGAGAATCTATGGGTGCCCTCAAAAAGTGCTCAAAATACAGCCTTTCAATTCTCCCTGATAATCCCAGAGAGGGGCCGTTGACACGTCTCTAAAGGTTCTTATTCAGACAATAATTTTTGAGTAACGATAAAAAACTATAACAGAGCTTTTGAGTATTCACAGTAGCTACAAAAGATACAGGAAAAGCATTCTGTGTACATATATGCGCCCACACACACAATCAGACCATCTGTGTTTGCAAGGGTCAGTGGGGAAAATAGTTTTTCACATGAAGTACAGTGCCATCAAAGAGATGAGTAAGAAAACGTAAGCCGTTCTGTCTGCCCGTTTCTTTGAGGATGGAGACAGGTGACATCGCACCGCATTATTTAAAGATAAGACAACTGCCCTCCCCCTCCCCCCCTTCAAAGCTGGGGTCACCAAGATCAGGTTCTCTAGTCACCTGAGACCCATTCTCAAGCCGGCAGTTACCCCCAAGAAAGCAGTCTTAAAAAAACAAGCACCAAACCACTAGACAAAAAAACTTCTTTTATGATCTGCAATCTTTACCTCAATGATGAAGCAATCAGCAAAGCTACAACACCACGATCCCGCAGACCGTGATCCCGCGGACTGCGGACCCAGGCTATATCTCACTTTTTCTATCATTGGCACTTAACAAAAATATATCAGAAAACAATATGGCTTCAAGTGGACAAATACGGATTTCTAAGGAAGGATCTGGATTATCTTTTGCTGCTTTCCTCTTGATGTGGTTCCAAGGATAATTTCTCCCCGAGTTTCCTTATGAGTTCTGCCAGGTCCTCTGTGTTCTGGGACTTTTCTTCAAGGAGCTCGTAGCGGAGGCTGGAGATGTCCTGCTTGATTTCCTTCAGTTCCCCTGGGGGAAGCAAGGGCGGAGAGGGTCAGCGGCTCTCCAGGGGGGTGTGTGGCCACTGCCCTGGTTATCTTGGGAGAGTGGACAGACCACAGTGAGCTCTGACGCTGCCCCAGGACGCAGCTGGAGAGGCCAGGGGAGGGCTGTAACCCCAGCTCGGATCAGCCGCCGCCCTGCCCAGCCACCCCTCCCGACCCCTCACCTTCATCCACCCCTCCCGACCCCCACCTTCATCCACCCCTCCCGACCCCTCACCTTCATCCACCCCTCCCGACCCCTCACCTTCATCCACCCCTCCCGACCCCTCACCTTCATTCACTTCGTCACTCTCCTTGTCCACCTGCGCCTGCAGCACGTATCTTTTGATGAGCCGCTTCATTACTTTCTAGACAGAGGAAGGAGACGCTCGGCTCAGAGCTGGGCCGGGGAAGCCCTCTCCTCGACCTCACTCCTGGGCTGCCCCGCGTGGGCCAGCGCTTTGGGAGTGAAGATATCCAAGGGGAGCAGGTGAGGACAGCAGCACCGCCCCACTCCGCTTTGGGTGGCCGCCATCTCCTCTGGGCTAAGGACTTCACCTCCGCAGAGAAAACGTGCAGCACCCAAGTCCCGGCGCCATTGCCTGTGTTCCTCTTAAAGCGCTAGAGACGCACAGAGCAGCCCTGCTGCGGGACAGGTGCAAGCCAAGCGCCGGCCCCACCGGAAGAGGAGAACGAGGCCAAGCCATCTCGGACGGCCCCACACGCGGCCTCACCAAGACCCAGGGCCAGCTTCGATGTTATGCTCGCTGTGAATTCTGGAATACCACTTTCAGCATCTAGATGCAGGTACGCAGCCACGTAGATTTCTTTCCATAAACACCTATATTATCTGGGTTTTTTTTTCTTTTTTAATTTTTGGGTCTGGTCGTGGGGCCTGAACTCTGGGCCTGGGCGCTGTCCCTCAGCTCTTCAGCTCAAGGCTAGCGCTCTACCACTTGAGCCACAGCGCCACTTCC